ATTGCAGAGAAGCTGAAAAAAAACCCCACTGAAATGCACGGAGGCATCTTTCATCAGCAGCACCAAAATTGTTCTCTCCGCACAATTACCTGGAAAAACACTACGAGCAAATCCTGTCAAGTGCTTCTATTTTAGGTAGGACCTGTTCCTGTTTTTAGGAGACGGTTTTGTATGCGCCTTTGTTTTACACACGGAACTTGTATTATACATTGCGTTGCATTGTTTAGAGTTTGTTTTACACGCGGAACTTGTATTACGCATCTCATTATATTGTTCAGTTTGTATTTTATGCAGCGAAGCCGAATAAACCGGTTTGATTTGTAGTCCGTGCTCTGCCAATGGAGCCGTGAAGCCCCGCGGGCGTGTCCGCAGTGCCTGACCATTCTGGCCCGGCCCTGTTTTCCCCTTATCGGGAGGTGGCGGGAGGCGGCCCGGGCCCTCCGTTCCCCGGGGGACACCGAGAAACGCCCCCACACCGGGGGCGGGCACGGCCTCGCCCCGCGCATGCGCAGCGCCGATCTCGCCGCCTCGTCACAAGCCTCGCGAGATCCGAGGTGACACCTGGGCTTGGCCGCGGCTCGGGGCAGGCGGGACGATGGCAGCGGCAGCCGGACGGCTCCTGGCGGCGACCGTGGGTCGCTCGGGGCGTGCGACCTGGGGCGTGCCGGGCCGGGCCCCAGCTGTGCCGCTGGTGCCCTCCCGAGGCGCCACCGTCACCCGCAGCGGCGCCATTTTGCCCAAGCCGGTTAAGGTGAGTGAGGGGCGAATGAACGGAGGCGGCAACAACGGGCGGCAGCCAATCGGTGCTGGTGCAGCTGCTGTGGGCGGGGCTTTGTGTTTGAGTGATAGTGCCTGGAACCAATGAGCGGGGAGCTGCGGGCAGGAATGCGGAAGTGTTCGGTAGCGGGAGGAGATGGGAGCGGCCCCCCGAGCGTGCGGGGCTCACCCGGCCCGTGTTACCCGCGTCCCCCGGAGCGAGGCAACGCTGCGGCGTGAGGGGGAGATCAACACCCGTCTACACACCGTCCTTTGTCACTGGCGACTGCCTCCCCCTTCCTAACATCCCCCTTCCTAAACCACGGGTGCTCCTGCCAGAGCTCGCTGGTGCGGGAGTGTTTGTAATATTAGAATACTATAATAAAGCGTGGTGCGGTGACCGGGAGTTGACACTAACGGTGCAGATCGTTCTTCGGGCCGCTTCTCGGGCCCTCCCAGCGCCTGTGGAGCCGGCAGTGCGCCGGTTCAGCCAAAGTGCGACTTGCTTGGATGTAAAGATTCACTTTTTACAATCGACTCCTTGCAGACGCCCTTCGGCCTTCTCAGAGTGTTCAGCGTCGTGATCCCTTTCCTGTATGTTGGTACTCAGATCAGTAAGAACTTTGCAGCCTTACTTGAAGAACATGATATCTTTGTCCCAGAGGATGACGATGACGATGATTAAAGGGTATGTCATTAACTACACCAGCAGTCTAATTATTTGTGCTTCCCGTTTGGCTTGGGGCAGGAAGGAGACAGACAAGGAAATACAGCCAGAAGCAGCTTAAAAGACACAGTTTAACACATGGACGTGGATATGCCTTTGGCTATGAACTTTTGTTTTGTACCAGAGTAGGCTACACTGGTATCTGGGTATCCTCCACACCATGCATTTCTCAGACACTGATGCTGTTTTAGATCTTGTCAGCTCAATCAGAAATAAAATGTAGCCAATGACGGTCTATACTGCAGACAACAGAGACTTCAGTGTTCCTACATTACACATCCAAAGGACAACAGAGCTGGTGAGGGGTCTGAAGCACACCTGTTATGAGGAGTGGCTGAGGGAGCTGGGGCTGTTTAGCCTGGTGAAAACAAGGCTCAGGGGAGACCTCATCACTCTCTACAACTACCTGAAAGGAGGTTGTAGCCAGGTAGGGTTCAGTCTCTTCCCAAGTAACAAGCAACAGGACAAGAGGAAATAGCCTCAGGTTGTGCTAGGGGAGGTTTAGATTTGTACTAGGAAACATTTCTTCAGGGAAAGGGTTGTGGAGCAGGCTGCCTAGGGAAGTGGTGGAGTCATACACCCTGGGATATTTAAACAAGGTGCAGATGAGGTACTTAAGGACTTGTTTAGCAGTGGACTTGGCAGTACTGGGTTAATAGTTGGGACTCGATGAATTTGAAGGACTTTTCCAATCTAAACAATTCCATGATTTTGTTCTACTTGTTTACCTGTTTAAAAGTCTTCTCCTAACTCACAGAATGACTCTTTTAAAAAACAGAATCACATACTGTCTGAAATTCTGACGTAGGTGAACAATTTCAGAGAATTCCGGAACCCATCAGAACAAACTGATGTTTGATGGGTGTTACAGCATGGATCTCTGGAGTCGTTGGACCATTCAGACTCATTGCAGAAAGGAAGAATGGAAATAATTCACCTTTATCTGCACTATGCTATGCTTTCTACCATTTTCTATTCTCTTTAGCTTCTTCTTGTGTAAAGATTTGAGTTTGTGCATATTTGATTCTTTATAGAACAAAGAGACTGTTTCTAAGAAGTAGTTGTAAATTATATAGATTTCTAATCGCTTTGGTGGATATATTCCAGTTGATAAGGGGTTTTCCAACATGCACTGTACAGCTAAAAGCTAAGACTTATGATTGCAAAGACTGCACTGGCCTGTTGGAAACTCCCCTCATGTAAATCCCATCTTGTGTAGTTTTGGGAGGAGGATACAGACTGCAGCTCAGTAGTGTAACAGCTTGTTTTTCTATTTGCAGCACTGGAAGAGAAGAACTGAAGGGAGAAAGCCATTGACAAAGCAATGGTTCCAACATCTGTCACCTGTGTTTTGTCCTTCCTAACGGGGACAGGGGGCTTTGTATCCCCTTTTGCCAGTGAGTGTCCTGCACATCTCTGTATGCTGGAAATCTGTAGATCAGGATTGAAGGAAGTGCTTGATAGGCCCTGCGTCCTTGCACACACATGCTCACCTCATCAAAGACTGCTTGGGATGCCTTTAATTAGCAACATGGGAAACATTTAATTAAAGATCAAGAGATTGACATGTGCAACTTCGGTCCTGTGTTTTTATACATTATTTGCCTGTGTCCTAGCATTTCTGTCTTAACCTTTCTATCTCTGTATGTCTGTAGGGAGGCTCTCCTCATGCTTATTTTCTCTTTTGAGTCCTTTCAGTAACTCAGGACTGATCTACAGGACATGTGGAATCCTAGGAGAAGCAGCAGTTCCACAACACAGCCTTGTTAAAGAATGGAGTGCACATCAACCATGGCACTGTGGTTCAACAACCTAGCAGCTGTATCCGATGGGGACTGTCATTAACTTCACCTCCCTGAAAATTAAAGACAGTATTACCATCAGAGTTAAAACTTTGAGTGGCTTTGGTAAAAGGTTGAGATGACAAGTTGCAAATGAACTTGCTCATGTGTTTTATAGCATTTAATCCCTGAATACTGGTTCCAAGTATATAGTATTTCCTAGGTAGTTCAGTACTTCCTTCTGAAAGAGCCCTAACATATTTCTTTACTTCACTGTATGAACTTCAATTCCTCTTTAATATTAAAGTATTTGCTATTGCACTTCAATCCTTGTATCATACACTTAAAAGATCTTCTCTGCTGTTATGACACCGGAAGAGTATCTTTAGTCACATCAGACCAGCTCTCAAAATAAAACCTTGAGAGGTTGGTCAGTTATTTGTTTTTCTTAAGCCAGCATTGCCCCAATATCTCATGGTTTCTGGCCTCTTGACTGCCCACTTCTTTCCTTATTGGTGTTGCTGTTGAATTTGAAGTATAGTTGCAACAACCACATTTGTTCCCTTATTCTTTGGCACAGCTTTTAATGTTTGCTCAGTAACTCCCCAGCATGGCTACTGAGAAAAAAGGGAGCCTGTAATCTGAGTAACCCCCAAGAGCTGTAGCTAAAGGCAGCTGTCAGGTTCTTGAGTCACTTGGTATCAGAGTTGCCCCCTCCTTGCTCAAAGTCACCTGAGAAGCTGTTGTTCCAGTTTATCTGCTCTTGGGAGCCACACATGTACCTGTTCCTGTTTTATATAGTGCCAACATAATTTTCACTGCTTTGTCCTACAGTCCCTCCTGGGCCCCTCCAGGCCCAGAAGACTTTGTCTACCCTGTCCTTAAAAACATGCCAACCCTGGCGCCCCAAGGTATCTATGTACACATCCTTGAGGGGTGCTGTGTTGCACTCCTCATGGGGAAGAAAGCCTCAGTACTTACAGGATAAAAAGACATTTAGGCTAGGAAAAAAAAAGAAGTTTGAGTGTACTACAAACATCCAGTGCTGGTCACATCTGGAAGAGCTCCAGCACTGAGTTACTTGCTGAAAACCTCTTCTGTCTGATGAAAGAATAAATTCTCCTTATCCCTCTCGAAAGGGAACTAGTAATTCCTGATTCAGTGGATGAGGTGATGGTAGGACAATCCCTTGCTAGGCTTCAGAAGCTCTTACAGAGCCTTCCTATTCTAGAAAACAGTACAAACCCTCTTTTTCTAGGTAATTTCATTTTACAGCAGGGAAACGGACCCTGCTGATGTTTTAATGCACAAGGATTCATTTGCATACTGGATTTTATATATTCTCTGCGAGAAACAAAGAAGACTAATGCCCAATAAAGAGCATAAAGTCAACAAAGTCATAGCTTGAAATTGCAAGACACTGCATGAATACACATGTGCCTCAAGCACAAGAATATTTCTGTGAGGACAGTGGCTTTTCTAAAGGCCTGCCTTTCTTACAGAGCTAACATCTACAGATGCGGCTGCAGGCTAAGCACAAAGACAGGTTGTGCTGTGGTTATTCAGCAGACACCCCAGGGTAAGTGATGGGATAAATGCCACCCAGTGGAAATGGCAAAACAGTGACACATTGGCAAAACTAGGAAATTACAGCTCTTCAAACAGATCATAATCACTTGCATATGCTCTGGATTCATCTAGTCCTTAGGCTCCTAAGATACTAGAGAATCTCTTTGTATGGATTTTTATTTTCCGTTGTGTAGAACTTTATTTGTAATATAAGGCAGGAACACACGGAGTCAGTTTCTCAGGGATTGTGGCCCGCATAGAATTTGGACAAAAAGTCTTTAGGTTGCGGGGCTTCCGTCTCGTGGAAGTACCTCATGACGTGAGTCCTCTGCTTCCAGACATGAATGGTTTCTTGAAGCTCCATTTTCCCCTGCACACACACAAAAGAATTTTAGACTAGTTGGCACTTAGAGCCCAAGTCTAACCACACAGTACTGTGAAAGCTATTTGAATGCACTTAAAAACACCTACGAAAATAATAGCTGCATCAACAGTTCTGTACTCCTGCAGCCTGCATGCATCACCTAAACTGTGACACAAGTATACTGTTCCTGCCTTGGGACTTAAGTTGATTTCTCTGCAGGACAGCTTCCCAGCCCTGTGAAACAGGCAAGAGATTCTGTCCCCTTCTTAAAACCTGCTTTGTCTCCTGACCAGCACCTCCCATAAAATTCTACACAACATTCCTAGCTTTCAAGCACCTCTGCTGAATTTGGGTGAACAGCAACACTGTAGCTGTAAAACTAAACTGCTGGCCAAGTGCTTTGCACCAGTATCACTGCCGCTGAGACATGCAACTTCTTCATGATTCCACTCTTTTATACTGGTTTTATAGGATGGTAGCACAGAGCAAAATGAGACTGCTGGGAACTGTCACCTACCATACTATCTAGGGTTCTGATTTTTTCATCGTGTAAAGACAGTAATTGATTTGAAATGCAAGAAACAAAACAGGTGAGCATGGCAGTCGTTGGTCGGAAGCTTTCTAATGCATTAGAACTGCAGAGGCCAGTTACTGTTGCTCAGACGCATTTTGAAGCCTGTTGTGCTGATTATTGCTTTGAAGCAGACAGGTCTCTCAGGCCTGTAACACCACCAGATGTGTTAAAGAGTTAGTGTTCTGCCACTCAAAAACAGCTTCCAACCAAGTACCTGCACTGGAATATATGTTTCAGAAAGAAAACCATTTTCCATTTCGTAGAGGGTAGAAAGTTCATTTTTAATAGTAAACTAGTGAGCAGCACCTATTTTCCCTTTCTTTGATTGCTGTTGTTAAAAAAAGACAAGCAAGCAACCAACAAAAATAAATAACAAACTTAGTATTTTAACTGCCGCTTTGCTTGATATACACTTGCTGAATTCTAAAGCCACCTGATCCCTTATGAACAGGTTTCCTGACATAGATGTACCAATCCAATGCCAGAGACAACTCCATAGATGGGCTTGTACAAAGTTGTCCCTCTCTCCATCACACTCACCACCAATCATCCACATCCTCTGCAGCTTCAACAAACCAGAAGTAACTGTTTGTACCTTAATAACCAGCATGTCTATCACGCGTGGATCCGTAACGTGGGCGTTCTTCATGAACATCTCCCGCACCTTGTTACGCCCCTGTTTCACCGTGATGTCCAGCTGGTACAGATGCACTAAGAGAAACATAACACCTACTGCGGTCATCCACGTCACTCTGCGCTCGTTCCACCGGCAACGTGCAATTCAACCCGAAAAATCGCCACACTGTCACTCGTTCATGCGATGCCCGCCGGCTTCACCAATGTCATTAAGGCCGTTCCGACCTTGAGCCCGCGCGGCAGGCCCCGCGTCCCTCACCCACCCGTGTTGGGCACCTCGCGGTACCAGGCCCGGTACAGCTCCCTGACGCGCCGCTTCGCCTCGCCCAGGTCCCGGCTGAAGATCGGCTTCACGGCGGCCGACACTACCCCCTTGCCCGCCACCGCCATCTTGCTGGAGCCGCCACCTTCCCCTCCGTTCGCGGGAACGCCCAGGGCACCTCAACTTTTCCTATTGGTCGTCTGAGCTGCCATTCCAGCCTTCCGGACCCGTCCCTCCCATCCGATTGGTCAAAAGAAACGCTAATCGCCACCGCTACAAGGGGTGGAGCAGCTGGTGGGCGGGCCCCGCCTCCTGAGGGGCCCCGCCCCCTGAGGGCCCCGCCTCCTGAGGGGCCCCGCCCCCTGAGGGCCCCGCCTCTTCAGAGCCCCGCCCGCAGGGGCCCCCGCCCGCTGAGGGCCCCGCCCGCTGAAGGGCCTCGCCTCCTGAGGGCCTCGCCTGCTCAGGTCGCCGGGTCCGCACCGCCCCTCAGGGCAGGGCTGGGGCTGTGATTTGGAACGATCAATGTGTTCCCTTTGCCCCCGGAACGCCGCAATCGGTTGCTGTTCGGTTGTGCAGCTGGGCTTTCTCTCAGTACACTCTTGCATGCCAGAAAGGCAGTCCCTACTCTAGCTATACTCACGGTTTTATCTAAATACACGAGTGCCGAGACCTCTCTAAAGTTAAGTTCTCTTTAAACACTTGGGTATATGCTGGCCACTATAAATCCGAACATATTCAGTAAACAGACCAGAAAAATAACACTGAAATGGTCTTGAAAGACGCAGGTGTGGTGCTGGGTGTGAGGAGAGAAATCTCAGGTGAGTGAGTATCTGAGGCGGGACTGAGGCGAAAACAAAGAAGAGGGCCGAGAAAGAGGATTTAGCATCACTTTTATTGTTTCAAGTTATTTTGTAGATGAAAAGCATAAATGTATAATTCCTGCGGAAGTTAAAATCTTAATTATGTTAATACATATTTGCATAATTCAATAGCTTTCATAGCTTCCAAAATTACTATTACACACATTTACCACTGCACATGTGCACTCGATTTCAGATATTTTATGGTATTTTAGTGGTGGTTATACATAGGAGCTTCTTTTTGGTATTGTCTCTTTAGATGTGGTAAGGGAGCTACTGCTAATTTAAACATCTTTACGTCTTGCAAAACAATTTGTCAGGAATATTGCAGGAAGAAACTGAAAGGTAACTCTGAAATGTATGACCATACAGTTTCAGATAGTATAACTCCATGCCTTTGTGAGTTCCAAGCCTGCCCAAGAGCTGACTTTATGTAATAAAAAAAAAAAAGTTTTAATTAGAGGAGATAGTAAATCTGAATACCAGGATTTCTCTTTAAATGTATTTATCAAAATTTCTGTATTTCACAAATGACACAAATGTGGCTGAAACACCATATGGATTATTTATGTACTCCTTGGTATTCACTCCTACTGAAGGCATAGTGTGACATAAGGGTTGTTGGGATTAAAATTTACTTTCTTTGAGGCTATAAATTAAGACAAGGCAGTATTTGTTCAGCATACAGAAGTGTGTAATAAACAGGAAGGAACGAAGGGGACATGGACGTCTCGGATAGTAAGATTTTTCAGAAGCACTACTCTGAAACTTCATTTTAATGTCACCTTGTTGTTGAAGCTGAAGGTCTCTTGTCCCATTCAAGAACCACAACTAGAATTAAGCTAAACAAGATATTGGCCTACATCCTTACTTTACACAGATATGGCTTTTTATAGACTTGAGATTGAACTTGGCATGATCCTGCCTAGACCTGCAATGTTTCTGACAGCGTTTGGGTGGGTGGTGGTCTGCGAGTGAGAGTGGTGTGCACTTATCTTGGGAGAGCTCGCAACAGGTACGGGTGTGGAGAGTAGGTGAGTGCAAAGTGACCGTCCTCCCGTGGCCTGGGCTGGTCCTCAGGGAGCACAAAAGTGAATTTCTGCAGGAGTGTGGTAAAGAAGAGAAAGAGCTCCATCCTGGCCAGCTGTTCTCCTGGACAGGCACGGCGACCTGCAAGAGAGAGAATAGGAAGTGTCTGTCAAAGAGGGCAATAATGGATGCTAGAATTGCCGTAGGGGAGCAGATCACCCTCCTGCTGTGCTTCTGACTTGCAGCTGGATCGTCCCCTTAGATTTACCTGCTGAGAAGGGCAGGAAGGCCTCCGGTTTCACAAACTCCCCCTTTGCATCTAGGAAGTGTTCGGGGTAAAACTCATTCGGTTTCTTCCAGATTGTCTTATCCTTCAGCACGGAAGACAAGTTGGTGATGATTGTTGTCCCCTGCACTCCCCACAAGAGGAAACAATTTAAGTGAGAACAGCAGCATTATCTTGGCACAATGGAATAGTGTTGGTCCCTCTTTATTCCTCGTCTCCCATCTAATAGCACCCATTTCCACTTCTGCATTTTATTTGAAGCAGAGGTAAAGCAGGGCCCTTTTCCAGTGGCATATGGTGCCTGCCTGACACTCTGAAGCATCTGAACTTTTGCAATTTGTATCCCTACAAAGGCTGTTGCATGCAAATGCCAATTTCACGGTTACACAGTGGAAACAGCCTCTGCTTCTCAGATCCTCCTGGACCTGCTTTATAGCTGCAGAGAAAAAGCTGACTGACACACTTCAAAGCCCAGCTTTCACAGCGGCCATGGAAAATCACAAAGCTTTCCTGTTTCACATGTCAAGGTTCTAAATCAGAGGAGATACCACGTTGCTACAAAAAAAAATACAAAAATATCCCAGGCTTGAATTCTGCCACTGCTGTCAGGGCAGCTGCTTGTCACAACAGAACTGGTCTGAATGCCAACGGCATTTGAGTAGCTTCAGAGGTTAGAATTTAACTACTACCATCTCAGGAAAGGCAGTAAGCTGCACGAGTGCTCCAGAGAGCCTGTTAGGCTTCTTCTGACAGGCAGTGAATATCACTGCCTCATCAAGAGGAAAGAAAACCTTTGCACTGAGCTGCCAGTGCAGTTGTGTTGCCATACAACAAGCGTGAGCCTAGAACACAGATACGATCATCTGCCTGAATTTAGCATTTCAAAATGTCCTATTTTAGTGCTCAACAGTGACTGTAATTGGGGCTGGAAGTGCAACGATGCAGGGTTGGATGGGGTCATTCCCATCCCATGCCTGGCATCTGCACAAGGAGACGCTGCTGTATTGCTCACGGTCACCTTGGGAATAAAGAAGCCTTGCAACTCGGTGTCTCGGTACGTCATGTGAGGTAGCCCAACGGGAACAATATCCCCACAGCGTTGCACTTCATGGATCACAGCATTAGTGTAAGGCATGCTTGCTTGGTCCTTCATGGTGGGGGGTCTCTCTCTGCCAATCACCTTATCAATCTCTGCCTGGACCTTACCTGAAAGCAGAAGGTATAAAGAATTAGAGGACCCTTAGATAACCAGAAGCAGCTGGTACAAGGTGAAGGAAGACTGGCTGCATGAAACTGTAGGCACTGTGTGAGAACAGGACAAGCAGTTAGAGACAGAAACAGAAACCAGACATGAAGGCATTTTTCAGTTGACTGGTGACTCTGTATAACTCTTCTTTACTCATAGCATCTTTAATAAAGGCCTTGCCACTTGACATGCTACCTTACCCCTCCTCTATGCAGCTAGAAGGTACCTGGGCAAGCAGTATGAGAGAATTTAAATCAATCAGCATCTATTCCAAATACTGGAACAGGGTACACTGATCGCTGCAAGTCCCCAGGTGAAGGCCTCAAAACGAAGGTGTGAGCAAATTTGCCCTTCGAACTCCAGTCTTTTTATCACAACTACCCCTCTGCCAGAAGATCTGTTTGGGAAGTGTTTCTCCTGTGTTTCTGCTTGACCAACAATCACCAAAGCTGTTCCTCATTGCAAAATCCATGGATTGCTGTTCCTCATTGTGAAATCCTTGTGGAAAAATGAATCTTGAAAAGGCTACACTTCTGTAAGCAAGTTTCTGACTTACTCTGTATTTCTGGGTGGAGAAGCATATACAGCAATGCCCAACGGAGAGTGGTGGAGGTGGTCTCAGAACCAGCTGTAAACAAGTCCATGGCCACAAGACGAAGGTTGCTATAGTGGAAACCATTCTCTTCAGCTGCCTTACCCTGTAGAGGGCAAAAAAGTGTGTGATTGGAGCTGGACTACTTGCTGAGTGAGAAGAGCACTATCCAGAGAAGTGCTGAGAAGCACTAGATCCATTTTTTAGCATGTGTTCCTGTTTTTCATTGGGAGAGTAGAGCACAGCACAAGCAACAGTCTGAGCATGACTCATGTACTTAGTAACCTTGTTACCTCCTGTATTTGAAGGTCCTCAACCACCTCTGGTATACTCAGAGAAGAATGCTACCCCTGCCTTCAGGGCACAAGTAAACATCTTTCGCTCTCAGCTCAAACAGACCCTTGCCACTCACTGTAACATCTTCCTCCAGAGGAGGTGGAACACAGTAATTCAGGTTTGATGAGATGATAAAAGCCACAGAGTAGAGAGCAGGCTGCATTGATGTGGCAGATGCAAAATTAGCATTATTTTAAGGGGGTTATATCTAGCTATGCATTACAGATTCTCACTGCTCCTGCCCTGGTATTTTCTTACAATTGGAAAGAAAAAAAAAAAAAGATCAGGGTTATCAGGTTAAAGGATTATTGCTACCTATTAAGTCTCCAATACCACTTTCAGCAAAACTGGTCTCTCATCCAAATGCTAATTGAGCTCAAATTTGTTAACATATGAGATATGACAAGCTCTCTGCATGAGTTCATCTGCTTGTCTTTTCTAATCCTCTTTATACTTCCCTTTCCTAGGGACTAGCTTCTTTTAAGTTATTCTGTATATTTAGATGCTTTTATAATATGGATAGCAATTAATAAAGCAATTAAGACTCAACTGCTATTCCAATAAAATATCTCAGAAAAGGGAGTTTGGGACTGACTTGACAAAAGTTAACTCAGAAGAGGGATTCATCAGACTGGCTTATGTTAGTGAACAGAAGAGAGATGTGACAAGAGGCAACATGGTCAGGCTCACATCCACCCCCAAGCTGTACTGCACAGTGCAGAGTAACGTGGGTCACGTTGCTCTGCCCATGCGAGCTGGTGGGGGGCAAGGCATGGGCTGGAGGTGCCTGACACCTACAGCATGGCAGGGTTTGTT